TCAATTCAATGAAAAACTCGGTGCAAAACATTGATTTAATTGAGGCTATTCGAACGTTGTTGAATTTACCAATAATAGAACAACCCTGGTTCTTTACTGAGAATAGCAACGTACTTAAAATTCCTTACCCATAATAGGAAGCCATCTGGTTATAATATTCTCTCTTATTGTTTTAAAATACCCAAATTACCCTCCATGGGTTGTGCTTAACACGAGCTAGAAAAAATTGCTAGTATATATATATATATATATATATATATATATATATATATATATATATATATATATAAAGTCAAGCTATTAGATACGATGGAAAAATTATATTTGACTAAGATCTGACATAGGAAATTCAGAAGAAAGTTGAGAGATGAGAAAAGGAGAGGGGGCGGTGAAAATGATATCATCGATGTAGAGAAGAAGGTAGATAGTATCAGACCCACGATGAAACGTGAATAAAGAACTATCAGACTTGTTACTGAGAAAGTCTACTAATGAGAGGTATATGGAAAATCGTTGGTAACACGCATGAGGGTCTTGTTTAAGGCCCTAGAGAGAATTGTGCAAACCAATTGTGCAAACCAAAGACATGATCAGGAAAATTGTTATTAACATAGTTAAGGGTTGACGCATATAAACAGTTTTAGTAAGATCACCATGTAGGAAGCCGTTCTAGAGATCGAAATCATAAGTATTCAATTTTTTTATGAATTAAAAATATAAAATTTTGATTTGTGTTAAAAGTTAAAACCAGAGTTCTCTCCTAGGAAAAGTACAATTATGCACATGTTACTCATAGTAATATTTTTGGAATAGAAAGAGTGAAGATAAGTATGATGCTATATAATGTTAGATTAATGACAGGAGTGATGCCATGTATGCAAATTCATATGTTTCTTAGAGTGGAAAAAAGTAAAACTTTTGCAAAGCTGTAAAACAGTAGTAATTAGATAATAAAGCTATGGTATTCAAGTAATTTTACTAATTACAACGACTTAACTCTGCAAAGCACATTTTATAAGCATCTTTGTGGTAATTTTATAAGTCAATCTTCGCCTTGACTTGACTTTTGATTTTGAATCTTTTATAGGATCACAAGTAGCTTATCTGTCACAACTGAAATTTGGAACAAGGCAACACTATCAAACGGTTAGAGATTTCCTATGAGATAACACTAACTATTGTTACACACTTGATGTTACATGTTTGCGTAGTGTTATAGGTTTTACATGATGTTTGTTTGAATATGGATCAAATGTGGTGAAAATAGAGTTTCAGAGACAGAAGGTGCAGGAGCTTTTGGATTACGCTGCATTTAATAAATAAGTTTGTGGTATCAAAGATTAGAGATTTTTAGTTCTTTTTTTTTTTTTGAATGGCAGTTGGCATTTGCTTTGATGAAATGGACGTGGTTTTACAAAACACCTACGAAAACAAGTAATGGAACTTGACTATTTGCTGATTTATCTTGTTTGTAGATATACCCTTAGTTGTGTTGGAACATTGTAATACTTCTTGATATACAATATTTTTTTGTCTTTTTTCTGTCTAGAGTTTTTTGTGATTTTTTGATAACCGCTTTAACACTTTCAATTCTTCTTGTACAGGACAGGGCAACGTATAGATGTCCATGTGAAAATATGGGTTCTTTAAGGTATAAGCCCACAATGTCTAGTGTTTTTCCTTGTGATTTATGTATAGTCATCACAAAGCATACTTTGATTCGAAATTGTGTTCTTTTGAATGGCACTGTGTAGCCTTCACCTGTAGCTGGTTGTAATGGAATTCTATGAATAAACACCTCTTTCCCACCATAATCACCAAATGTTGCCTCTTCCCGGATAACATTCCTATTAAATTCCTTGCAAAAGAGTCTTATACCATTACACAATCCTTCTATTGGATTCATGTTTCTCAGTAATATAATAGGTGCATTTTGCTCTAAAATTAGTCTATGTGGTGGCATTCCATTTGGTGTTAAAGAATGTAGAAGATCCTCATAATGAATCCTTTTAGGAAAGAATTAAGTTGTTGATCGCTTAATTATGGGTTCTGAATCGGTGGGGAATGTAATTGAATTCTACTTCTTCTTGTGGAGGAGAAAAATACGCAACAAATGGAGATTTGGAGGATGTATTCGTCTATTGTATTTCCTTTAGCCAGACAATGGATGCAACGATTAGGAATGATTGAGTCGACATTTTTTTTCTTGCTAGAATGTGTCGTTTAGTATTGGGTTACGTGGAGGAAATAGAACCCCGTGATTTTCTTGTAGAAGCCACCAGAATAAAAGGGATTTTATATATAGTAATGATATATATATATATATATATATATATATATATATATATATATAAGGGATTTTATATATAGTAATGATATATATGTTGAGGTTCAATAGAGAACCATAATTAACCAATGAATCAATAGTTTTTTCAACATCTAGAGCTTGTTTTTTTTATAAAAAAAAATTAAAATATAGAAATACATAACTTTTTATCATTTTTCCAATTATATCAAATTTAACAAAAAAAATCGTCAAATTCACAGTGTGAATCTGAATTCACACGGTGAACTCAAAAAATATATAATTTATTTTTTAGCATTCACAGTGTGAAGTTATTAATTTAGAAATTTCTAGTTTTTTTCCGATAAACAATAAGCTTTAAAATTTGAAAAAAAAAATCGGTTCCTTGCAGAACCAATAATTATGGTTCTCTATTGAACTCTCTCTCTCTCTCTCTCT